CTAAATTTAAAAAAATGGCATTTTGAAGACTTACTAGTAAAATGTATGGTAAAGTTTCAAAACACTCGCAAAATTCTTCAAAATGCCATGTTGTCCCACGATTACATGATTTTCAGGGTAAATTTTAAAAGAATATATGGCATTTTGAAGACTTACTAGTAAAATGTATGGTAAAGTTTCGAAAAACTTTCATAAAATTTTTCGAAATGCCATGTTGTCCCACGGTTACACGATTTTCAGGGTAAATTTTAAAAGAAAATTCTCTCCGTGTATAAAAATATACATATTTAAAAAAGTATACCGTAAAAAAATTATAAATAAAATAAATATAATAAGTTGAATAAATGAAATAAGTTTTAGTAAGACATATTTTCTGTTTCGTTTGAAAAATTACAATAACAGAATTGTTACATAACTTTCAATCCACTTTCCCTCACCTTGCATGACTTTTCTTTCGCCTCCTCTCTGAACTTCTTTTTGTTTTTTTCAATTAAATTTTACATTCCCGGTTTATATTATACATGTCACAATATGTAGGCAAAATTCTCTCTATTATTTCACAATGTCTAAAATCACCGCGTGACTCATAGAATGACCTGACATGTGAGGTCAGTTTTGATTAGATATCGATGCTCTTCGATCGCTTATACCGAAGAGCCGTGACAGGATGTTAGGGTCTAAATAATCCTTATTTTAAATTTCTTGCGATAAATATTACCTCAGCCAGAGTTCTATTCATTTATTAATTGGCAAACATATATTTATCTTCCCGACGAAACCCTTCATTTTCAGTGGAATATACGTAACTTAACTCGAAAAGATTTTATTTCACGTCGTTACACGTGACACGTATGTGCAATCCCGGCCGAGATTCAGTGAATCTGAGTTCCGTCATCTTGTTCTCACGGTTTCGAAACGTCGAGTTTTTAAAGCTTCAAAACTTTTAGTCTTTTTTTTGCGAAGGCAGAGGAGAAGGAGGAAAAGGAAGAGGACGCTAAATAAAAGATTTCTCTCACATAAGGCGGCTTACATGATGTCGACAGCGACCTCGGATGCTACGATCGCGCAGGATATATAGTATGAGGACACGTGGGATCTACAACAAATAAATTTATATTATGCATATTAAATCATACGGGCTTTTCTCGACTTATGTCCATTTCTATCAATGTAGATTAACTTCAATCTCACAGTCAGTTTAACTTACAGTTTATCTTTTTCTCCAGTTTCAAAAATTAAAAAATAAACCATTAGAAAAGTATATTAAACCGAAGTTAAGGTAATCTGCATCGATAGAAATGGATTGGTCTACAGTTAATAGTTTTTTAAAACAATTTTCTTATGAAATTATTTGTATTTCGAGTAAAGATTTGTTTAAATGAAATGCAAAAAGACATGACAATTATCCAAATATAAGTGTTATTAATTATTTTTCCGCCAGATTAAACCAAATGTTGGCACGAGATCGAACCTCGCGTAAAATTTTGAGATTTAATTAAAATCAGATTCGATACTTCTTTGGATAATTAAAATTAAATGTCTTCGACTATGCAAGTAGTCGCATATTATAACAATAATTTCATTCCGAATGTACTCGCGAAACTTTCGTAAACGAACGCAACGCACCAAACGTGTAATCTCGTAACTAAAGTACACGTGATTCAATCTAACCTAAGCTGACACCGCAATTCCTAACCTGACTTTAGAATTGTCAGCGGCATTCGAAACCCAGCCGTGCGAGGTACTGTTTAGCAGTTCGAGAAACCAGAGCACAGCGCGTAAATTCGCGTGTTAAAAACGTTCGCATTTCTACATAGATAAAGAAAGATTCCTAGAAGAGGAGATTCGTGTTGTCGCACAGCGAACGATGGAGATTGAGTGTGAAGAAGCCGTTGAATCGCGTTCGCCGGCAACAGCACCGCGTGAGACCTCAAATGGCAATGACGAAATGACCAAGGCAGAGAGCGAAGCTGATCAGGCGCAACCGACCAAGGACTTTCGCAATCCGACAAGCACGGAAACTTTGTCGGAATTCAGCGAGTCTTCGGAGTTGGACCTTCCCGCCTCTTCACAGTCAGGCGTAAGTTTGAGACAGACATTGACATACAATCACGCGCAAGTACACGTTATAAATTGATAGGATCCTTAGCAAGGTGACTCTTGTATTTTTAATACAATGTTTTATATTTTAAGTCTTTGTTCTTCAAGTGACGCACAATAATTGCCTTGTGTCTCAAGTTTCAAGGCCTGTGTGCACGAAGCTAGAACTTGGTTCTAGTTCTAAGAAATGTGTAGTCAATCAACTTGCAGCTTTTATGGAATAGCTGCAAGTTGATTGGCTACACATTTCTCTAAACTACAACTTGGACCAAGTTCTAGCATCGTCGGCGCAGGCCTTTAGATTTGCATAACAAAGATACGTGTGAAAAGAATAAACGTATGTAAACATACGAGAAGGTAATAATTGTACAGTATATTAATAGATGAACATTTTACAATTAATTCAGACATTCTGCACTAAAATTTCTTGCAACGAATCGTCTATGTTCCGCTTGAGCAAATGATAATATAATCGGTCTTGAAATTGTAGGTACTATCCGATACATTACCGGAACGACTGGTAAGTCTTGCGATATCGGAGCAGACGAGGGACGCCGGCTCGGCAGATTCTATCTGCATCTACAAGTATGACTGGTCCGCAGCGCCGAGGTTGTTACGCGTGGCTACCAAGGAATACCAGTCCGCAAACACGCGCGAGAATTTTACAAAAGGTTGCCAGTGGTCCCCGGATGGGACGTGCTTGCTTGTACCGTCGGAAGACTTCGGCATACGCATCTACGAGCTTCCCAGAGAGCTTTACTCCGGCCAGGTCCCATCTGATTTCGTACAGAACGACTTCGCGTCCGCTTTGATGGTTAAAGAAGGTGGCCTGGTGTACGATACCTGCTGGTATCCCTTCATGAATTCATGGGACCCCGCGACGTGCTGCTTCCTCAGTACCAGCAGAGAGAGTCCTGTTCATATGTGGGATGCGTTCACGGGAGAGCTGCGTGCCACGTATCGAGCCTACAATCAGTTAGTAGCTGCGTCACTTTCGCTATTACTGTGCGGCTTTGTAAAAGCGCGTATCTTTTCAGAGTTGACGAGGTAGAAGCGGCTATCAGCGTTCAATTCGTGCAGTCGGGAAGGGAGATATGGTGCGGTTTCAAGAACGCCGTGAGAACCTTCGACACGGACCGTCCCGGGCGTCAAACGTATGACATTCAGTTTAAACACGACTTTCCGAATATGATGGGATTGGTCTCGTGTATCCGTGAAAACCCAATCATGTCAGGCCTGGTTGCCTTCGGCACGTATTCCAAGTGTATCGGTAGGTATCCGTCTGTGGTGATATTTGTTACCATAGGTTGCAATAAACTGCACGTTTTGATTATATTTATAGTAATCAATGAATAAAAGGGCTAAAAGCCTTGACTGGGTGTTGGTGTCGCAACAGTAAAAGTTTAGTTTATTTAAAACATAAAAATTACAAACGGTTCGGTCTTTCTTTAGACCATCCTCAGTGTATATATTTTCTTTATGTTCGAAGGTCTGTACAAAGACGGACCATTGTGCACCTTCAAGACCGGGAGCGGTGTAACACAAATAGAATTTAGCCCTTGCGGAATGAAGCTGTTCTCGGCTGTCCGGAAAAATAGTGAATTTCTATGTTGGGACCTCCGCAAACCTGGAAATGTGCTTTATTCCCTCGAAGGAAGGCAATCGGATACCAATCAAAGAATACAGTTCGCTCTTACGTTTGACAGCAAACAAATAATCTCTGGTCAGTTCAATAAACGTACAATAATGATAATAATAAGGCCCATCATTCCCGCTGCGGAACAGAGACTCTGCAAGTTGTTTCCATCTGATCAGATTGCTAGCGTTACGCTTGATTTTTTCCTTGCGAGTATTTCAGGAATCGGTTAGAAATTCAGACGGGCAGGTGATTAGCCTGCTGCACCCTCGGTTATTGAAAAATGACCAGCGGTGTCCGTGGCTGGATTTAAACTCGGATTTTTTTTTGTTAATTTGTTTACTAATCAGCGCACATTTCTCTGCGCTAAGCTCGGCACAACGATAAGTAATAAGAACATGATAATACACTTGACTAATGTTACGTACTCCATAGGTGGTGTCGATGGAAATATCATTGTGTGGGAATTACCAGAAACTACAAATGAAGAGGATTTGAACCCGAAATATAAAATAAGACTGTCCAAAGATTGTATAAATGGAATAAGCTTGCACCCAAGTCTACCTATAATAGCAACCAGTTCTGGACAAAGGTATTGTGGCACTGAAGATGTACATCGAGATAATAGCGTGAGATTATGGTGGGCTTCTTGATAATGTAGCTTTAGGTAACTTTTGATTTACATACGGATAGTTTGCGCGTTAAACAGAATAAAAAGACTGTATATACTTGAAACGTTGTGCCGGATCTCACCTTATGTATGCCTCGATTTAATCAGATTGATTGGAATAAAGATTGTGAGCGGAAAAGTACAAGTAAATGATAATCTATTTCGGGCATCTGTACTGGTCTGTAAATATCTGTAAATACCTATATTTCAACTTTGGGTGGAGCAGAAAGATGTGCAGTGCTCTCATGGGCCTATGATCTGACAAGTTCAAATGAAACCAAAAATCGCTGGTTTTATATCGCCATCTCTTGAGCCTTGTGTCCACGATCCAAGAACTGTCAGAGTTTTAGTTCCGAGAAATATGTAGCCAATGAACTTACAGCTTTTCCGTAAAAGGGACGCTAGGGATCGAAGAGGAGGCAATGACGGAGGCGTGCGACAGCGCCATGCCCCGGGCCATATACACCGCGCGGAAGAACGCGTACTGGTGGACGGAGGAGATAGCTGAATTAAGGCGCTCCGCCATCCGAGCCAGACGCGCCTTACAACGGGCGAGGAGAAAAGCCGGTTCCTCCGGGGCATACCTGGAGGAATTGAAGGAGATACACCGGGAGCGGCGGGCGGAGCTGAAGGCCGCTATCAAAAAGTCCAAGGAAAAGGCGTGGGAGGAAATGATTTGGAGCAAAATAATAATGCAACAAGAGAATATTCTTCTATAAAATCCTTTCTCTCCAACCTATAGAAGCGTTGCTCTTTAAAGGAATTACGATGATCAAATCGAGCATTAGCTTGTCGTGCAATAGGCCATCACCTATCCGCGTCTTAAATATATAAAAAGATGCTAAAAATTATCTGACTAAAATCTAGTAATCTTACAGTGACTTAAAATACAAATTTTGATAAATACTTGTAATGATTATTTTATATATAAAATGCATTGCTAAAACTTGGGATGTTTTTTATCTGGCGTATCCCATGATAAAAAATCTTCATCAAATACATGTTTGGTTGACCTCAATTTCGGAAACATCTACAAGTAGAAATAGGCCAGGATTCTACACGGACCTTAGCGATATATTTCAACTTATATTACATTTATTAAATTACATTAATCAAAAATTATATGCGTATATTAATATGTACTTATAGTTTCGTGGAATATTCGTATTCTATTTTTTATTTCACAAGAACTTTTTACAATGAAAGCTTACAATTGTACGGATTATTATTATTATTATTTAAAAGTAGACTATGTAAATGCTAATAAAATCCAAGCAATGGATATGAAATTGCAAACATTGTAAAAGTTCTGTTATAACGAACATCTCTTAAAGTACATTAAAAAACAAAATGAAATATTTTATAATACATTTGTCATATGTATATATATATATAACACGTAGATATCATTGTCGTCCCTGCACAAAAGTAGCACAAATATTCTTACGTTTTTATAATTTATCGAGTACGTGTAAGAAACATACGTGTTTTTATTCAGAAGAACTCGTAAATATTATAAAAATTTTACTAAAGTAGGAACGATCAATGCAAAAATTGTATTTCAAATAGTTCGTTTAAAAATAGTGACGGTCAAGATGTTTAAAACTATGATTGTAGCAGCGCCTGATTTGTGCAGGCAGATAAAAATCGTTCTCCAGTAAAACACAGATTTTTTTTTTAAGTGACAAGAGAAGCGAGCAACGTTATTTTTTTTACTTTTGTTGCTTTTGCCGTGCAGAGGCGACGTTTTTATAAATGAAATTTGTGTAAATGAAAATCTGATACAATGAAAAGTTTTTATAAAAATCTTTCATTGTACCAGATTTTCATTTATACAAGTACAACATAAATATATAATATGTAAAAAGTTATGAAAGATTCGATTGAGATCTAGTAGTCCTACGAAGACCTAAAATAAATATCAAACCAAGTTTTGATAAATACCTTTTACATGATTATTATATATAATGCATTGCTGAAACTTACGATGTTTTCTATCTGGCGTCTCCCATAATATAAGATCTTCATCATGTTTGCTTCGGCTCTGTCTCGAAGGTGTTTTGTTGCGATGTACTGAATAAGGAGTCATAGGTAGGACTGGTTTATTTTCGCCACATCCCACACAAGTTTCTGTTATAATATGATTATATATATGTATGTAGGAAAAGTCCCCTATTATAAGATAAGCTTTTAATATGAGATAGCAGGTTTTCAACATCCAAATTCAATCACAATCTTCTTTCGCGGCGAGTAAACAATCTAACAATGAATTTTCCACTAAATAGATCGCACTCCAAGGGCAAAACATTCACGGTGAGAACCGACGATGCCTATTAATTTAGTAGAAACTATGCTGTCTCATATTAGGAGATATGCCTGCCTCATAATAGGGGACTTTCCCCCATGTGTGAACATGTAACGTATACATAATACAGATTTTACAGATTAAAGATTTTTTTACCGTCAAATGCAACACTTTTTCGATGCGACCTTCTCTTAATACTGCCTGTCAATGTTGCATCCGTCATCTCCATTGTATTAAATCTATTCGGTGTCATATTTTCATCTTTTTTCGGCGATAATTTTAATGAACTTGTCCTACTTGGCTTTGGCGAGCTCTTATGTTCTTCTTTTTTAATACTTGCTCTTTTTGGAGTCATCTGAAGAAAATCAGATTAGTAAATTTTTATTTAGTCGATTAACCCTTGATTGTGATGGAGCCATTCGAGATCCGATGGATATTTGCTAGTTTTCGAAGATCCCCTCTATTATTGCAAGGGTGTAAAAGATCTCGAAACTAAAAAATTGCTGTTTTATATGCTATCTTTATAAACAAAGCGACTTTTTGATTACCCAATAAAGTACGGAGGTCAAGAGTGATTCAGCCACAGCTGATTAGACACGTGTATATAATATACGTTATTTTATATTTGATATTAAGTGTTGCAAGTGCTATACTGAAAAAGGTAATTAACATTAAGAAACATTATAGCTTACCATTTTGCTAGTTCTATTGCTTTTGGGTGTGTCATTTGCCGTGACAGTTCTATTTCTGAGTACTCTTTTCCCTAAAGCAAGATTATCTTTCATGTCTTTTGAAATAATTTCAGCAATAGTGTCTATTCCGCTGTCTCGTGTTGGAGGTGAAACTGGTATATCTACACTTTTCTTGCCCGATGCGTCCTTACGTCGAGATCGATTTCTTAAGCTTCTCCTGGATGATGTAATCTCTGCATTATCTGGCAATGATTCTTTAGTAGATGAAAAGGATGTTATTTCGCCAAGCGGATGCACAATATTATCTGAAATATTCTGAACAGATGACCTAGATTTATTTCGTCTCCTCATTGGTTGCTTCTCGAGCCTCAGTTCGTCCAGGTTGTCGCTATCAGAGTCTGTAACTTCAAAAACTAGTCTTCTTTCGGCATTAATGCACGACGATTGATTCATCTGATCGAAGTCGAAAGTGTCTATCTTGTTTAATGCGGCAGCTAAACTAAATACAGTGCGCACGTTTTCTTCAACAGGGACCTCCGTTAAAGCTACTCGATCGTCAAAATTGACTTTGTGCGCGGACTTGATCCGGGCTTCCTTGTTTTCTAATTCTTCCGATTTCTTCAATATACTTTTGCCCGGCGTTTGGTCGGAATTAACGTAAGATATTGTGTCATCTAATTGAATCTCCGGTGTCTTGCACATTTGACTTATCTTCATGGCTGCGAATGGGCTTCTCATTTTCTTAGACTTGTCGGAGAATTGCATGGAACTCGCTCTAGAGCTTTCACATCGATCAGACGACTTGCTCGCATTAAGCTCCTGGGATTTCGATCTCCTGATACGTCGAGTGTTCTCTTCATCAAGCGCTGTAAAAGATTTTCTATTACTCGAGTTTTCGCTTATATGTACATCTTGCGGTAACATATCTTTCTTGCCTAATGTTCCCGCTTCCATTTTCTTTTGTCTGGCGGCCAGGATTAACGATCGCAACGAACTCTGTTTTGATGATACAATTTGTTTCTTAACAGGCACTCGTTTCTTAACAACAGGCTTGGTGACTACGGTGCGCTCCTCGTCTTCCTCCTCCTCCTGCCATCCTCTGTTCCGACGTTGCTCCAATTTCTCAAATCGCGAGTCACAGTTTTCGACCTCCATGTATGCCATTTCCCAAAATCCTTGCAAATCTCTACACGTTACCAGCATCTCTCCTCTACCAGTTTCGCAGTCCTGCACCAAGCAACGAAATCTTTCGAATTTCTTATTTATCAGCAAATTTGTCTGCCCTACTGCTTGTTGTATTTCGTAGGTAGCGTCCTCCGGAACATTTTTCTGCAACTTAATGTCCAGCCATTTCTTACAAAGCTCTTGAAGTCTGTCTACTTCTTTGTTCAAGAGAAGTTTGAAATATTGAGCGGTGCGTTCTTCGTCTTCCACGCATATGTTCAAATTTTTCATGACAGTATCTTTGGTGGGAATTTCGCCAGATGGATGGCCGATACCTAGCCGTTGCTGTCCTTCTTTTCTGGAATTCCTCTTTCCACGGCTTCGTGTGAGATACGGTGAAAAAACAATGAGATCTACAGAACAATTTTCTTTCTCACAGGATGTCGGAGTTATATTTTGCGGCGGCGTTTTGGTATCAGAGCTGCTTGACGACAATTTTTCTTCCTGCGACGAGTCTCGTACGTCTGCCTGGTTCTCGGCCTGTTCCTTCAATGTCGATCTCAATGTCTGAGTTACATTCAAATCAGTTGAACAATGCACGGTCGATTTATCTAATTTCTGCGGCGAGTTTTGCTTAACTGGTGACAGCTTCGAACTCGTGGAAGGTTGGACATTCCCTGTGGCAACATCAGACGTTGGTGTGCAGCTCTGCGATATTTCTTTTGTGTGGTATTTCTCTTGTGGCGTTTGCTCTAGTGGTACAAGACCAAATAGAGGTGGTAGCGTTTGCAACGCAGACGGAGGTTTGAAATTGTAATTAATTGGAGCAAATGATTGCTTTGCGTTGTTTTTAAAAGACGCCGTTTTCACACTCGCAGACTGCTTCATCGACGCCGAGGTAAGATCTTTTGCCGCTTGTTTTGCAGCTTTAGCGAGCAGCCGCTTCTCCGTTGCTCTCGTAATTCGTCTTTGGACTTGAATTGAGGGTTCCGGCTTCTTAGGTGTTTTAGTAGCTGGCATGTCGCTCTTGATCATCGGCGAACATAACGAGTGATGAACGACGCCGACTTTGAAAGCTGGTTTCTTCGCCACTGCTTCCTGCCTCCTCTTCCTGTCACGCTCTTGCTTCCATTTTATTAATTTGTTCGCACGCTCATCAGTAGATGTACCCTCTACAAAAAAAAAATAGTAAGAGTTTCTTACGACTGTTTGATTTGACAATGTAAACGTACAGTTCTTGCACGAGACAGGTGACACAAGATCAAAACTGGCAACCTTACAGGATACAATTTTCAACTTGCAACTTTTCCAGATGCATATTTTCTACAATAAATAACTTTACGAACCTAAATAATAAATGCAACAATTAATTACACTTATGCTCTTTGGAATGAAAGTACGTACGTTTTATAAACATGTAAGAATTCACATTTTTTTACTCGTGTCACATTTCTCGTGCAATATGTACTTGTCTAGTTACAGTTACAGTTTTTCTTTCGGTGTAACTAGTTACAGATACCCAATCAGTAAAAGGGCCTGAGCAGAATGGCTGTCTCGTACTCTTAAGACAATGTTTCACGTTGTAAATCTTTGCCTTAAAGTAACGCACAATAACTGTCTTGTGACTTAAGAAGACACAAGACAGCCATTCCGCTCAGGTCCTTACGAATCGTTACTTTGCAGTTACTTTGAAATGAAAATATCAAATCTGCATTTAAATTGTAAAGCACCGACAAAGGCGTTTGTGCAGGACCTAATGCGGCCTGCGGAGGTTTAAAAAATATGTGAAGTAACTATTGATGCAACTATTAAATTAGTTGAAAAAATCCGACTGAATGATGTTACAGTTACAGATGGGGAGAAAGTAACGCGTTACTTCCCCACCCTGATTATATTGTACGCATATATTATTTACATTTCTTTATATCTCTCGGCCTTTCTCAAATCGGTGGTCGCGGTAATATATCAGAGGGCTTGCGAGACGAAAGCAACGTGAGATGTACAAAGGAAATTGTAAGAATATTCTAGGTAGCGCGGGAACCACGCGACACACGGGACATAAGCCCGAGACGAAAGTCACCGTCTATTGTCCGTAGCAAACGACAAACAATAATATGTATGACCGATTAGAGGTGACAGCGGGTGAAAAGGCCGCTAACGAGCAACCGTTCGAGGAGATGTACGCGGAATTCGGAGCGAGTAGAACCTAGAGCATACACGAAGAGTTATCAGTGGGAACTTGGAATATTTCGAGAGAGTTTTTGGTACGCGCCGACCGCGAGATACGTACGTCTCCCCGAATGGTCTCGGTTGAATATATCCGAGACGATATAGAGAGGATTGTGGTATAAGTCGGTGTTATTGCGATATTTGTAAATTATTTACAATATTATAATTGATAAAAAAAATAGCATAATTGAGTGGAATAAAGACTAGTAGTTGAACTTAAGTGACATCAGATTCTTAAATCCTAAAGCTACGATCCAGGTGCTCATCCGCTTCAAGCTATCCCTGGACAGGGTCACAAGAAATTAAGTATCTAACAAAATGAAACACTTTTTTGACGGAACAAAATAGCCCCACCTTGCTGGACTTTTGCAGAGAAGGGGGTCGCAAAGTAATTTATTAATTTTACTGTGTTTTACGCTTTGGAGGGTCGTGGAGCTAAAAAGTTTGAGAAACGCTACTTTGTATTACTAAATTTCCCATTCATACGATAATAATTGTTAACATCACTGCAATTATACGACAGATAATTCATAATTTTATACATGGTGATTCCATCAATATAGAATTTCATTTTAATTGCTTCAAACTGGATTGGCAGTCTCTTAAAATAATATAAAAGCAAGGAAACCACAGCAAGCTCGTGACCAGCTTGAATCAAGATCAATTTGCATGAACATTCAGGCCTCTCGCTCGAAATTGAAGAGTAACATCTTGAAATTTGATGAAACATTTGATGTCGTTTCGCTTAACATTTCATTTAATGCCAGTTGTAACGCCCAAACCCTCCTTTCTCTGCCTCTCGCACGAAAATCGAATAAACGTATTTACACGCTAAATAACCTAACGGCGTCCCCGTAGAGGGGAAATCCCCCCCGAAAAAAGAAGAATAAACGCCATTTCTCGTACGACAAACAGAAGGTCTAACATAAATATTTACGGTGGCGCCGTACAAACGGCCGAATAAGATCGGAACAGGATTATCTAAATGACGACCCAGTGAGAAATAATTCGTCGATCGACGTGAATTCGACGGTGTCGACGTCGATCGACGAATCATTTCTCACCGGGGAAGAAATGAAAGCGGCGACCGAGGATGATCGCAAATGCGAGAGGCTGCTCCGCGAGAAAGATCGCCGAGTTATCGAGCCACGTGAGACGGGGGGAGCTTTCCAGCAAGCGACACAAGTCGACACAAGTGTCGTTCTGTCTTTATTATTCATTGAATGCGAAGAAAGGCAGGACGACATTTGTGTCGACTTGTGTCGCTCGCTGGAAAGCTCCTGGGATTCCTCGAGGGCGAGTCACCCGCAGACTTACCGGGATGCGGGCTCGTTGGCGCCGAAACGTTCTGCAGACCGCGGTTCTGGTCGAAGGTCCGCGTTCTGACCGCTCTGCGGTTCCTGTCGCAATTGTACGCGCGCAGATACCTCCTGTGACTCGCGTCGCCGAATCCCGGACGCGGATTCTTGTACTGCTGCCTGAAATCCGGCATCTCGGCGACAAGGACGCAGCGCGATGAGGACAAACGACGCGAGCGAAGTGCACGCCAACCCGCAGCACGCTCGAGTAACGGCAGCGCAACTGAAAATCACTTCAAATATTGCTGGCCACCGGGGCGCTGAACGTCGGATTGGCGGGCGCGCGAACGCTTGCCATTGGCCGCGCACGGCGGGGAGAGCCACTCCGATTGGAACCGTACTTTCAGATCGGGAGACGAACGGTCGTATCGCAGCGCGGGTCTGAAAGTGCGATCCAATTGGCGCGAGGCAGCGTTCGTTCCACCGAACGCGGTCATTGGCCCACGAAGAACGTCAGTGGCGCCAACTGACAATGCGACACCTAGGTTTTGTTTTCTGTTCCTGCACTGGTGAACTAGTGCAGTAAAGCCTAGTGCAGACTGCACGCAGCAAGCGACAAGCGTCGAGCAGCGAGCGCTTGCTGCTTCCCAGGTAGAACACAAAATCATAATAATATCATAATGACATCAAGTAGAACTCA